GTATGGGGGTGGGGCTACGGGGGGGGGGATCCCGGCACGATGCCGCAGCCCTGGCTGGGGCCGGGTGTGTGCAATGTGGGGGGACCCAGCCCAGCCTGGCCCCCGCCCCAACCGCTGCCTTCTCCACTGCTTTAGCTGACGCCACGGAGAAGGACTTGTCTGACCTCATCTCTGAGATGGAGATGATGAAGATGATTGGCAAGCACAAGAACATCATCAACCTGCTGGGAGCCTGCACGCAGGACGGTGAGGGCGCGTGGGCGGGGAGCGGGCGTCCCCTCTGCCGCCCCTCCGGCTGCCGTTCACACGCTGGGAGGGGTCTGACCCTGCACCCACGGGGACGGGAGCCCTGCTCCATGGTCCAGCCGCTCATTCTGCTGTCCCTGCAGGACCCCTCTATGTGATCGTGGAGTACGCGAGCAAAGGCAACCTGCGGGAGTACCTGCAAGCCCGGCGGCCCCCTGGCATGGAGTACTGCTACAACCCCACCCGTGTCCCCGAGGAGCAGCTCTCCTTCAAGGACCTGGTCTCCTGCGCCTACCAGGTGGCCCGGGGCATGGAGTACCTGGCCTCCAAGAAGGTGAGGAGCTCCTGGGGGGCCGTGGTGGGATGGCGAGCCCGGTGGCTGGGCTCGGGGGGATGCACCCTTCCCTCCCAGCCTGTTTCATCGTGGGGAACCATCTGGGGGCTTCAGGGACCACCTGACGGCCCCGCGCTCGGTCAGTGCATCCACAGGGACCTGGCGGCCAGGAACGTCCTGGTGACTGAGGACAATGTGATGAAGATCGCTGACTTCGGTCTGGCCCGTGACATCCACCACATAGATTACTACAAGAAGACGACAAACGTGAGTGGTGGGCGAGGGTCTTCGCCGGGGTGGGCAAGGGCAGCAGCAGTCTCCGTGCCGGGCATGCCCCAACCCGCACTGGCGATGCCACGTGCGTGCAGGGCTGCCCCCCCCAGGTCCCCCCACTCCCTGGTGGCATGGAACCGATGTGGGGCTTTCTTCTGTCCCAGGGTCGCCTGCCGGTGAAGTGGATGGCCCCAGAGGCTCTCTTCGACCGAATATACACTCATCAGAGCGACGTGTGAGTAGCGGCTGCGGGACACCTGCTCCCTGCCCGGCTTCGCAAGCAATGGGGCTGGGTCAAGGGGGAGGCGGGGAGCCAAAACTGCCAGCACAGGGGGAACCCTCGTTTGTCTGCTGGGCGCTCTGCTGTGAGCTGGGGGACATGGCCCTTCTTGGCCACCCCGTCCAGCAACGCTCTTGCTGCCTCCATCACTGCCTGCATCTCGCAGCATCTTGCTGAGGTCCCGTCCCGCCCTGCTGCATCTCGCGTAGCAGCGCCCAGCGCCCGCTGGTGAACGCGACGTGCACCGTGGCGAAGTGCACCAGATGTGATTCGTCTTAATTTAGTGAAAATATAATTAGCATCAGCAGACAAAATATTTTTAATCCAAATTATATTTGGCGATGGGACTCGTTTGTCTTGCAGAGCAAATCAAAGCTGTTTGTTTGCTGGGAGGGACAAGCACTAACTTCTAGCTGTACCCAAGGCTTTGAAGTGGGGGTGTCAGCTCCACGGGAGCCGGGTGCCCCAGCGTCTGCCCTGTGTTTGCCCCGGGCAGGTGGTCCTTCGGCGTGCTGCTGTGGGAGATCTTCACGCTGGGCGGCTCGCCCTACCCCGGCGTGCCGGTCGAGGAGCTCTTCAAGCTGCTGAAGGAAGGTCACAGGATGGACAAGCCCAGCAACTGCACCAACGAGCTGTGAGTGTGGCGCTGGGCCGGGGAAGGAGGGGG